CTCAAAACTTATTAGAATTTGGACCAAGAATCCTCATCCAATGGTCATATAATACTTCTCAGAAAACCCGTTAAAATGCATTTGGAGCCCGTCGCTCAATTATAATGGGATTCCTTCAAAACTGGTTTTGGAGCTGAATTTTGTGCTTTTAATAATTTAAAATCAAAACTGTCAGTCTCGCGGTCGATGTTTTTACCTCCGCTTAGCCCTAGGTGTGGCGAAGATGTATTAGTTTTCGAACCAATCAATCGAACCAGTCATTTATTGCTTGGAGATCATATACCAGTGCATCCCAGACTACTATGATGAATGAGTAGTCTGGAGTGACGACTTCACCAGACCTAGCCTAAGCCTTAAACCAGTTTTAACAATATGGGTAAAGCTGGTTTAAGATTTAAGCGATAACGGCGCCGGTGGTGTAGTGGTAAGCGTGATTACCTCTCACCCCAGCAGGCCTGGGTGCAATCCCAGTCGGCGCCCCCGGGATGTTCTGAGGCATAACATCTCTGATCACGCCTTCCTTCGGATGGGAAGTAAAGCCGTTGGTCCCCGGTTCATGAGTTGATGGGTCGATAGGTAGGGTTCAGGTGTGGGAGCTGCCGTCGGTAGCATTGGTGCTCAGCACGGAAAACAAGATCGACGGAAAAAAACAAACCAAAGGAAAAAAAAAAAAAGATTTAAGCGAAGGTGAAGAAATCGGCCCTCAAGGCACCTAAATTTACATGAGACTTTCGTAGTGTGTAGTTTGGTATTCTTCTCTGAAATATCTTGGTGTGACTGGCCTTAAAATAGTGACCTAGTCTCTTAAAAGTGACCTGCTACCAGCCCTGTGATTTATGGGCGTTGGAGGGTCTTATAAAATTACAGACTTTTCATTTTTTTACTTATTAGAAGTTCTTTTGAAATCAATCAGTATTCGGCCAAATGACCCGAATAAAACATTTCAAGCATTCTAACAACTAAAAAAAATTATTCATTGATAGGATCCTTAAGCTGTGAGGCGATTTGCATTCTAGGAAATTAATATTGCTAGCTTCAATTTTCTGTGCCATACAAAGTCTGTTCCATTTAGGATTAGATTTTTATTTAGCTTTAAGGGATTATTCGTCAGCTTTTCGGATGAATTTTCGAACTTTTCGTGCAATACCTCTCATAATGTCTTGCACACTAGTACTTTCAACCTCATCTACCATCCTTGTCCACCACTTCTCCAAATCAGATGGTGTTTTGATTGTTTTGCCACATTTCTTCAATTTGCGCTTGATAATTGCCCAAAATTTTTCAATGGGACGAAAATCTGGATTGATACTTTTCTCAATAAAATCGACATTATTCTGCTTATACCATTCAATGACATCGCGACTGTAATGGCAGCTGGCTAAGTCTGGCCTCCTTGTAAAGTTGTCCATTCATAGTCGCTCCAGTGATGAAAAAACCTTTGTTTTCTTCCCGCAACTGCAGATGCCTTGCCAAATCATCAACTTGCGAGCGAATTTATCCGGAGCATCCCCTTTACGTTTAGCAAAGTAAAAATTTTGGCCAGGGATTTGTCCAAAGTCCATTTTTGCTCGTTCCTCGTACAGCTTCCTTGCACGGTTTTTGGCAACCAGATTTTGTTTCAGCGTCCTGTCGGGCTGTTTGCTGGCAAGGTACGACCGGAAACCTTCTCGCATACAGATTCGCCGAACTGTACTGTGTGCCGCACTGAACCTTTTCGCCAAATCACGACCGGAGATCCCAGGATTCTTTTGGACTGCCCAACTAGAGGATAAAAATCGATATCCGACGCCATTTTGTTATCGAAGATGGTGGCTTCCGTTTTACGAATAAGTGGAAATACAGTCCAAAACACATCAATATTGGAATTTTTGTAGTCGGTATGAAGTCTACAGATCGAAAATCGATATCCGACGCCATTTGGAAATCCAATATGGCGGCTTCCTATTTCAGAAAAAAGTGAAATGCTGATGCCGTCCCATCAATATGGGTATTTTTGGAATCGAGGTGACGTCTGGAGATTGGAAATCAATATCCGACGCCATTTCGAAATTTATGATGGCGGCTTCCGGTTCAAGAAAAAGTTGTAAATTCTATCAAATAATCATACAAACGTTTTTTTTTTAGAATCAGGGTAACGTCTAGAAGCCGGAAATCAATTTCCGACGTCATTTTGAAATCCAATATAGTGGCTTCCTATTTCGGAAAAAATGGGAAATGCTGATGCCGTCCCACCAATACGGGTATTTTTGGAATCGGGGTGACGTCTGGAAATTGGAAATCAATATCCGACGCCATTTTGTAATCCAAGACGGCGGCTTCAGATTTCAGAAGTGTCAAATACCCTAAAATATGGCTATTTTAAGAATGGGGATGAGACATAGATGACGAAAATTGATGTCACAACGTCTTTAAATCCAAGATGGCGGCTTTGGTTCCGACAAACTGTGAAATTTTGCCAAATACCGATTAATGTGGGCTATTTAGGAATCGGGGTGACATCTAGAAGCTAGAAATCGATGGTGACTTCAGATTTCAGAAGAAGTGTCAAATAGCCTACAAATGGCATCGAATGTCGATTTTCAGCATCTACACGTCGTCGCCGTTCCGAAAATACCCAGATCTTAGGGTATTTGACATTATTTGTGAAACCCGATGGTCGCCATATTGGGCGGTACTACCAACTACAATACTTTTAAATTGACCGTTAAATGCTTGTTCGATGAACAACTTGCGAGATGTTATGTCTGTTTGCCTGTGCGGATACTATATGTTGATGCCTGCGTCATCAGGTCGTGACAAGTCGAATGAGCCCCGAATTGAAGTGAAAGTGGAAAAAACGAAGGAAGCAGTTTTCGAGTCATTCATTGCGTCAATTGAAACAAGTATTTGCTTCAAATGAAATGAACTGAAGCACTTGTTCATCGTGACTCTATAACAAAAAACACGATGACTTACACGAACATGATATTGTTCGAAATGAAGCGATTCTGCGGGGGGGTTCATTTTCTTTTCTTTATTTCGTAAATTCAGAACCCTGATAAGTGTTTTTATTTAATATTAATAATAATGCCAATACTGGGTTACGAATTGCGGCAAGAATTTAATCAAACTTTATAAGAGTCATGTGAGCTTTGTGGGCAGGTGCACTTCCAACACAATGTATACGTTATGTGTGGAGCAGAGGAGGAGGAGCTAAGAGTTCATTTGACAGCATTTATATACGGTTTCGTGAGCTGTTTCAGCAAAACAATTTGAATCTTCGAAAGATTTTCAAGATGTTTTCTTGCTCACTTGAAAAATTAAACCGACAGACTTCGCAATACCCAGGTATTTACAGTCGATTTTGAAAATTTGACAGCCTTTGCAATCATTCCTCCTGACCACGTAGGATTTTGCACGTGAGTGTGCAGAATTTTTTCACGTCTGTCACGTTCCATATTCGATAACTTTTGAACAAGTATATGAATCCTGATGAAATTTTCACTTCTAAATAAACAATCCTTCCGGATCAAAACGCTGATTGCTACGACAACTACACACTTAGAAATACCTAATTTTACAAGTGACGGAATCCATCTTTGACATAAAGAATGAGATGTAAACAAACATGTCATGTAAAATTAAGTGCTCCGAGACTGAAAAGTTTGTTACTCGACGAAAAGTAAGTTCGATTAAGATGAATTTCGCGTCTATTATAACTCATTTTTATGTGAGAATTGACGCTCGTATATGTCAGTCTCAGAGAACCTAAATTTACATGAATTTTTCTAAGTGTGTAGAGGCGCTACAGTAATTAAAAAGAAGCGGCCAAATACTAACAGGAACAGACTTTAGTGCATTTACTCATCTCCACATTTCTGTCAATTGGATATGCCATCAACTCGTCCCTCAATCGTTTGTTCGCGTTCCGAATTAATTGAAAGACAATCACTGCTTAGTTTTCCACCCAGCGTAATAGACTTCAAATCAGGTTCGGACTATCCTCCCTAAGTTTCTGACTTATTCTCTGAGATAGCACTGATTATTGTGAAACGTGAGCTCTTTCCTCTCATCTCATGCTAGTGTTGTTATCTTCCAACGTATACCAATCTTTCTATCTCCGTCGTTTTATCAACGACACTATCACCCTATTAAATAAGTATTGCAAATCCACCGCAATCGTGTAAGTGTAAAGAAATCATCTATTAAATCATCCGGCTCCTGATCTGTGTTAACAACAGCGCAACCTACCATAAAAGCGTTGTGTATGATATGTTACCCAATCGAGCAACTGCACGCGGCAAAAACAATCAAACTTAACCGCGAGATAGATGAAAAAACCGAACAGAGCAGTACAAATTGGACCGGCTGAAAACGAAAAAACTAACATCTCACCACATCTCGCCAAGAGGCGTGTAAACGAGTGCACTTTACTACTGTGCCGTGCCCCTCCCCCCCTAGGGGGCGCTGAGTCGTACATTTCCCAATCGACTTGGTGGTTGTGCGTTTTGCTAGCAGACACATCTGAACACTTCGATTATCGGCCTAATTAGAGCAATTTCGTGAAGTTTTAAGACAGAATCCATTTCACTGGAATGAAAAAAGAATCTCATTTATGCCGAACGCTTCATTGGTTGCGTGCAACCTGAGTCGTACCCAGTGGTGATTGCAACGCATTGTAGGAATGTCAGTACCTAGATCTATTACATAAAGGTTGCCCGGCACTCGTCGGTGGAGCAAGCGAAGGTGTGACCAATGCGACACCTCTTACTGTTCGCCGTTGTCGACGTAACTGCAACGGCCAGCATACCAGTCATGTATGGAGGCTATTCTATTCATCGATTCTGATTCGCGACTGACTGAAGATTCGAAATAGCAAGTCGAATCAATCGTACTCCCTCCCGTTGAATGCAATCTAAGCGACACTCACAACAACACTCATCACGTTAGAAAGACAAAAACTTGAAACAACCAACACGTTACGGACAGAAGAGTATGGGGATGAGAAACGGCGCGCTTACCTTAAACCGCAGTACGTCCTCCATCCGGGCGGTTTTGCCGTCGCTGACGCAGGACTGGAAAAAGCTGGGCGCCACCGAGACCCCGAGCGCCTCGCTGGTCATTCCGGTGCCGGCCCGTTCCGAATTGCTGGCTATCACCCGAAAGGTGCCAAACAGCAGCACCAGCAGACGCTGCGTGTGGCCTGGCAGTGACATAAGTAATCTGTGGAAAACGGAAGGGAATATGTTTGAGTTTGGGATAAACACATTTTGCGCTATTCATAATCAATAAATAAACAACGAATCGGAAATCTATGCTCTCATCATGGAGGGGTTCGCGTGTTGTGCGATAGGTGTTTTGATGGGCATTTCCAAGTGGGGAAGAGAGACAGAGAGCGAGCGAGGGAGAGACTTTGAGCTAAAATTGGACGGCGTAGATAAATTCACTCCACGGGTAAGGAAGACCATTGAATCGTAAACAATACAGATGCGATAAAAGCTCAGCGCCCGTACACTCAAAAAATTCCACATGTCGTCATCGCTTTATTCGATGTTGGCTACTCAAAAACATAATTTTTACTACCTACATACATTAACGCCCGTATACCTTGTTCAATCATCTGTACCTGCTTTATAATAGGTAATAAGTTTTACAATCTCTTATTTTCATACCTAGTAATTGTATCAATACTACATATACCTGAACAAGATGCTTATGGTACCTAGGCAGCCATTTTGATCATATAAATAGCCTGATTCGTTACCAAAAGCAACATACAGAGTTCCAACTTCTCTTGAAATGGGTCTTATGTCTGAATACATCTTGACTTTTTGTTTTCGTTAGCATTGGTTTAAGCTTCTAAGTTGTTCTGAATTTTCTATTAAATTTTTATATATCCAGAGGTGTTTTTATTTAGGGGTTCACTGTTGATCATTGTTGTCATTTGATTGTTGTAATTGTCCTTATCTGCTTTCACGTAATATACTGCTTTAGCTTTCAAGTCTTTTACAATGCGAATTTCCTTTTCGTTGTTGTGACTTTGTTCCTGTCCGTCCTTGATTATGTTCGAAGTCCTGTGATGATGTTGGAAATATCTTTGTCATTGCGCCTTGTATTTGTGGTTTTGTTAAACGTTTCTTGTGTCAATTATTCTTCCGTGACTGCTGTTGAACCAAGATGAATGGCGTCGTGGTGGTCATCCGTTTGGTTGAGACTCGTTGTCTGTTCTGTGCACGATTTCATCTGGGTCTGATTATATCTCGACTTTTTGTTTTCGTTACAATTTTTTAAACTTCTATTTGTTCTGAATTTTCTATTAAATTTGTATCTATGCATAATCTTTTAAATTTCTCTTTTAAAAATTCTCTTAACGGAATCCCTTTATGAAGAGCATTGAGTGTGTTGGTTTATTTGCTTTTAATTCCGTTTTAATTACTTATTTTTTGACGGATACGCGTATTTCGTCTACTACTTGCAGACTTCATCAGTTCCAAGTAAGAGATGAACTAGCCTCAGGCTAAAAATCTCTAAAATAAAGATTAAAAAAAAAAAAAAAAAAAATCAGTTCCAAGTACTCAACATCACTGGTCACATCACAAGGTATACAGAGTAGTTTCCGTTTCATATTCGATTGATCTGCTGTACAGAAAATGTTGGAATTTAATTGAATACTCCTGGGCAAACTCTGCGTCTGCTATCAGTGATATTTTTGGCATTTTGTCTAAGCAATGCGATGGTTTTCTTCAGTCCAACGAATTTGTTGGACTACGGCGGCTTTGAACTTCTAAATCTTATCTCCGGGATAATTTGGGGAATTAATTATATATTTAAAATAATGTATTTTCATGGTAAAAGGTAACAGGTTGTATCCAAGATTACGAAAGGTAATTATGATGTCACAGAAAAAGTATAGTAAATATTAAATTGATTCCGTAACTCGTTATCAGTGTAAAATTTCGATAGGTTGAAATTCGGAAGCAATTTGAGAGTTCTGTTTTTGAGGTGCTCTGTCGATGTCCATGATTACAAGCCAATCCTGGACGATATGTCTTGGATACAAGCTAGTTCACTCTTTTATCAGTCATTTGTGGTCCTCAATAGGACCGATGGGTTGGAAGCTTGGAAGCTAGTTCAGAACTGTGAAAATTTTTGGTCGATGTTCTTGGAGATGATAGCGGTGCGGAAATGAAATATATATTAGGGAAAACACGTCAATCACATAATCTGAGCCTACCGCACAGTGGGACGAATTCAAAAAAAGTGGGACATGGCTATTTGCGACGAAACTATTGAGTATAACTTTTTGTTGTCTTCTAGAATGTTTCTTTATTTTTTAAATACTTTATTTTAGTAGTGAAAATTTTTGGTTAAGGAGGGTATACACTCAGATAAAAAAATAACTTTTTTATGTCTTGTTAAATTTGATGAACACATATGAAAACATTGAAGATGAAGTCTTTTTAAGAAACTTTGTCCAAGGTGTAAACTTTCTATCTCTCAATTGGACGAAGTTATAGGGTGAAAATGGACTACAAACGGTAGTACCCCCTTAAAAAACGTTTTTTCGCCATAACTTTTTTCTTTGAATTTTTTCGATTTTTAAATATTCTACAAAGTTGTAGGTGCTTAGAAAATGCATATTTTTGCAGAAGACAGTAAATCGTTATCTCTTTGTTGAAAGGATTTACGCCTGTTTTTACAATTTGTTTTCACTATCTTTAAGGGGGTCTACCTTGCAGGTTGGCAGGTATTAGCAGCTAATGACAACGTCATTTCATTCAGCAACTTATACCCTACTGTTTCATATACAATTCATAGGGGGATCCAAGGGGATGCTTAATAAATTTTCAAAAAATGTACCTCAATGTTTTGTTACGTTTTGCTTTTCTTTTTTTTTTATATCTTTATTAAGGAGACTTTCAGCCGTTGGCTGCTACGTTTTGCTGTTTTCATGAAGATTTTTCCAAGTATGTACATACATGAAGATAAAAAACGTGTTGTTTACCGTTAATTATGACAAAAGAAATCATTATGATGAACATTTGCACTAGCTATCAATATTAAATGGCAATACAGTAGGTGGTAACACATTTATTTGAACTTATTTGCGTTTAAATCCCGTAATTGATGTTGACACTAACGAATCCTGGAATTTTCCTGATTCACGGCGCAGACATTATAAGAGAATGCCGAAATAAGGACATCGAAAACTTTCGAGAACATCAGGCAAGGAAATGTTCACGGTACAGATATGTGATTTTTATATTTTCTAATCATAGTTATGCTTTATGTTTTGTTTTTGTATTCAACAGTGTAGCCACAAATTAAGACATTTTAAGCCGACTGATGGTGTCTTCAGACCCATTGATTTCATCAATGCGAAAGATTCCAAGAAGGAAAAGCATTCCATTCAGGGGAGATGCATTGAAGTTTTTGAAATAACCGAGTATTTTAAAAAACGAGATGCCATGTTCATCCAGCGATGAAGATTGGGAGGAGAACGATCAACTGTAATACAAATTGTAACCAAACAAGTATCAAAAGAGTTTGAATAAATGTTTTGTCACCTGCTTAATTGCCATTTAATAGTGATAGCTAGTGCAAATGTTCATCATAATGATTCCTTTTGTCATAATTAACGGTAAACAACACGTTTTTTGTCTTCATGTATGTACATACTTGGAAAAATCTTCATGAAAACAGCAAAACGTAACAAAACATTGAGGTACATTTTTAAAAAAATTATTAAGCATCCCCTTGGATCCCCCTATGAATTGTATATGAAACAGTAGGGTATAAGTTGCTGAATGAAATGACGTTGTCATTAGCGGCTAATACCTGCTAACCTGCAAGGTAGACCCCCTTAAAGATAGTGTAAACAAATTGTAAAAACAGGCGTAAATCCTTTCAACAAAGAGATAACGATTTACCGTCTTCTGCAAAAATGTGCATTTTCTAAGCACCTACAACTTTGTAGAATATTCAAAAATCGAAAAAATTCAAAGAAAAAAGTTATGGTGAAAAAACGTTTTTTAAGGGGGTACTACCGTTTGTAGTCCATTTTCACTCTATAACTTCGTCCAATTGAGAGATAGAAAGTTTACACCTTGGACAAAGTTTCTTAAAAAGACTTCATCTTCAATGTTTACATAGGTGTTCATCGAATTTAACAAGACATAAAAAAGTTAATTTTTTTTATTTGAGTGTATACCCTCCTTAACCAAAAATTTTCACTACTAAAATAAAGTACTTAAAAAATAAAGAAACATTCTACAATACAACAAAAAGCTATACTCAATAGTTTCGTCGCAAATAGGCATGTCCCACTTTTTTTAATTCGTCCCACTGTGTACCGGACGGTACCTACACCTACGTTTATGCTTTTTTAAGCAATGGCATAATGCTCTTAATAGGGGGCTCGAAATTTTCACCAACAGGCATAAATATCGGTCCCGTTTGGCAAGCTCAGTGTTTGGTATCAATATTCGGCGACTGTGTTAGGGAAACCACTTTCCCCATCACGGAATCGCCTTGTTTTCCTGATGACAAAATTACGCATTTACGTACACAAAATGCACGGAATTTTTGGTTTGTTCAATAGATAATAAAAAAAGCGAAAATTGATTGGAGGAATTTCTTGCTTAAATTTTTCCAATCACGAGATATTCGCGATCAATCATAAATTCGAGATTTTGAAAATGAAAGCCGAGTGAAAAACGAATTAATCATTTTGTACGACCATTTTCCACAGAGATGGCGCTGTTCCGCTGGTAGGAAGTGATAAAAATCCCCATATAAACATTTAGAGGAGTGGAAATAATTCGCTTTCGGGTAAAAAATAAGTGAACGACAACCTAAAGAAATGAATCAGGGACTTTGTCGTTCAGTTTTTTCCCGGAAATTATTGTTAAACAAGCTACAATAAAATAAAAATGATTTTTCCCCGTACAGTTTTACCTGATTTACTACCAGCTCCCAGAGAGTCAAAAAATTCAAATTTCAGAGAGAAAATTTGCTCTCACGACCTCAATCTCTCAACATGCCATGTATTTTGTTGACACTCGATTTGTGATTTCCCTTTCACAGATTACAAAATAGAGTACCTGACAATACAAAACATGTCTGGTACCTCTATATATGCATTCGCTTTAACATTTGAAGTCCCTCATTTTTTACATATTCTGCGCAAAAGATACTTTATGCCCGGCCCCATACATAAAATT